ATACTGAGAACCGTCCAATAGGTAGTCGGTTGGGATAGAAAAATGAGATAAAAAATTATAATAAATTATATAAATATTGTTACGTACAAAAATAATAATAATAAAAATAATGATAATGGTAGCAGGGTCTTAACGGAGGTCGGTCGAAAGAGGAAGTCGGGTGAAGAAGGAGGCGGCCGATATGGAGGTCGGGCGAAGACAGGTCTGTTAATTGGTCGCCCAATTAAATGAACATTAGTTCAGTCGCTTGATTGGGGCGACCATTGGATAGAAAGAAATATAATATAATAAATTATATAAATATATATTTTTTATATCTGTGTAACCAACAAATTTAAAAAAATATATATTTTTCTTTGGGTATTATTTTTTCTATTTTATTAAAAAATTATTTTCTACAAAATGATATATATACTGAGAACCGTCCAATAGGTAGTCGGTTGGGATAGAAAAATGAGATAAATAAATATAATAAATTATATAAATATTGTTACGTACAAAAAATAATAATAATAAAAATAATGATAATGGTAGCAGGGTCTTAACGGAGATCGGTCGAAAGAGGAAGCCGGGTGAAGAAGGAGGCGGCCAATACGAAGGTCGGGCAAGTTGAGGTCGGTCAGGATGAAGTCGGGCAAAGAAAGATGGGATGGCAGATACGGAGGTCGGCTGATACGGCCGTCGGGTGGTTTGCCATCGGTTCGTTCGCAGTCGGTTAGTCTGCCGTCGGTTGTTTTGTGGTCGGACCAAATAAAGTCTGGCGAAGACAGAGGTCGGCTGATAAGGTCGGACAGTGAAGTCGGACGTGATCAAGTCGGGCTCGGAGGTCGGATAAGATAAGATCAGACACGGAGGTCGGTTGATGCGGAGTTCGGACCAAGTGAAGTCGGGCGAAGAAGAATGAGACGGACGATACGTGGTCGGACAAGAGACCAGATGGTGGTCGCTTGATGGGGCGGCCAATGAATCGTTTGGTCTAGCGACCAGTTAATCTGGATTGGTCGGGTGGAACAGAGGTCGGGCGAACTGGTTTAGGCTTTAGGGTTCAGAAGGTAGGTAAGGGGCAAAATTGTCATTTTCCAAATGAGGGACATCTTTGGATATTTTTTTTTCTATTTTATTAAAAAATTATTTTCTACAAAATGATATATATATACTGAGAACCGTCCAATAGGTAGTCGGTTGGGATAGAAAAATGAGATTAAAAAATATAATAAATTATATAAATATTGTTACGTACAAAAAATAAAAATAATGATAATGGTAGCAGGGTCTTAACGGAGGTCGGTCGAAAGAGGAAGTCGGGTGAAGAAGGAAGCGGCCAATATGGAGGTCGGGCGAAGACAGGTCTGTTAATTGGTCGCCCAATTAAATGAACAGTAGTTCAGTCGCTTGATTGGGGCGACCATTGGATAGAAAGAAATATAATATAATAAATTATATAAATATATTTGTTTTATATCTGTGTAACCAACAAATTTAAAAAAATATATATTTTTCTTTAGATATTATTTTTTTTATTTTATTAAAAAATTATTTTCTACAAAATGATATATATACTGAGAACCGTCCAATAGGTAGTCGGTTGGGATAGAAAAATGAGATAAATAAATATAATAAATTATATAAATATTGTTACGTACAAAAAATAATAATAATAAAAATAATGATAATGGTAGCAGGGTCTTAACGGAGATCGGTCGAAAGAGGAAGTCGGGTGAAGAAGGAGGCGGCCAATACGAAGGTCGGGCAAGTTGAGGTCGGTCAGGATGAAGTCGGGCAAAGAAAGATGGGGTGGCAAATACGGAGGTCGGCTGATACGGCCGTCGGGTAGTTTGCCTTCGGTTCGTTCGCAGTCGGTTGTTTTGTGGTCGGACCAAATAAAGTCGGGCGAAGACAGAGGTCGGCTGATAAGGTCGGGCAGTGAAGTCGGACATGATCAAGTCGGGCTCGGAGGTCGGATAAGATAAGATCAGACACGGAGGTCGGTTGATGCGGAGTTCGGACCAAGTGAAGTCGGGCGAAGAAGAATGAGACGGACGATACGTGGTCGGACAAGAGACCAGATGGTGGTCGCTTGATGGGGCGGCCAAGGAATCGTTTGGTCTAGCGACCAGTTAGTCTGGATTGGTCGGGTGGAACAGAGGTCGGGCGAACTGGTTTAGGGTTTAGGGTTCAGAAGGTAGGTAAAGGGCAAAATTGTCATTTTCCAAATGAGGGACATGATAGACTTTTCAAGTGGCAGATCCGTACAATCTCGTGTTTATATGTTATAATATATATGCATTGTACTCCTTCCGTCCCACATATCGTGTCTGCTACACTGCAGACACGGTATTTTAGGGGAAGTGTAATTAGTAGATAATTAAGAATATATTAGTAAAAATAATTATCCTATAATATAAATAATTATAAATTAAGATTAAAATAACTAATTAGTTTAATTAAAATTAAAAAAAAATAAATTAAAAAATTTAAAATGAGATTAAAGTGTGTAATCATTTTCCAAAAAAGAAGAGTGACATGGAATATGGGACGGACAGAAACGGCAACGTGGACATGGTATGTGGGACGGAGGGAGTATAATTGTATTGCTTCTCATGTCTCTTAAGTATTCAAAAAAATTTTATACTCAATTTTATACTCCCTCCGTCTAGTTAATAAATTTATATTTACCTTTTGCATAATTATAATTAATATAAAAAATATCTTTATATTTTTATATTTATTTTATATAAATATTATTATATTTGTATTATAAGATATTAATAAAAATATTTGTCATTTTCTCTTGATTTATACTGCTTTTTGATGTAATAATTAATATTCAAATATCAACACGTAAAAAACATACGTCAACTTTGTAATTGGACGAGGGTAGTATATATTAATATGCAATAAGAATAAAGCTAAAAGTATAAAAATAACCTATTAGTATTGCATAATATAAATGTAATGATATTTGTGTAATATATTATAAATTGTAAAAGCATTAATGTTAGATTGATAGTACCGTTACTAAAAAAAATGAATATTTTGTTATAGGTCGGACCAAAATAAATATAAAAATAATAGATAATTTGTTAAGAGATAGAGGGAATATCTCATAGGGTGTGTTTGTTTGGGGGTTTGGATTTTGAGTTGGGATTTGAATAGTAAAAAAATTGAATTGTAATAGTTGTATGATGTGATATAAATGGATGTTGATGTTATGTTTTGAATGTAAAATTAATTTTTAGTATAATATAAAAAAAATGAAAAATAAGTGTTTGATTTTATGTTTTTTTTTAAAAAAAAATGATGAATAGTAAGATTTGGGGGATTTCCCCCGAACGAACACACCCATAGTCTATGTCAATGTTTCTAACTAATAGTCCCCCGTCCCGGGTCAGATGACCCATTTGGTTAGAGATACCGTATTTTAAATAATATAATTTAATATGTTAATTATAGTAGTTATAATATTATTTATATTATGTTTATATAAGTAGTGTTGTTATTAGTTTTTAAAATAAAAAATATTAATAATAATTAAAAAAATTAAAATAGGTATTTAAATATTTTAAAGATTATATATCTCAATAAAATATATTCAATATGAATATCATTTTATACAAAATAAATTTTTTATATAAATTAGTTTTATAAAAAAAAATGAGAGTTTTAAAAGTAGATAAAAATATTTGTTAATTGAGGAGATAGATAAAAATAAAGAAATTTTACATGGGTGCTATGTATAAGAAGTTAAAATTTTAATTAAATTAATTTATACTCCTTCCGTCCTAAAACAATAGAGACATTTGAAATGGACTAGAGAATTAATGAATAATAGTATTATATTGATACTTGTGTAAAAGTATTTTTAAAAGACTAAAATACCCCTACTTTATGTTATTATTGTGAAAAAGTTGAGATAATTTTGTAAAAATGTGGGGAGGTAGTTACCAAAAATTGAAATGAGACTATTATTTTGGAACAGATGAAACTAGCAAAATGGACTATTGTTTTGGGTCAAATAGAGTATTTATTAACTGACGGAGGTAGTAATAAATATAGACTATATAATAAATACTCTGTCAAATTCAAAAAATTAGGCTCGATTTAGACAGACGTTTGGAATTTTAGAAATCAAAAAAATAAAAAATTAATATTTAATTTGATATTTTATAAAAACAAAAATATGTATTTGACGTAATTTTTTTTAAAAAAAAATGAATAATATTAGATGAATGAAAGCTTTTGTACAAACAAATTTTAATAATTCAATACAAAATATTAAAATTTTATATTATCAACATACTTATCAATAGTTAAACATTAAAAAAAAAAAACACTTCACATTATAATTACAAAACAAACATATTCCATTGATGTTTGTGTAAGAACAATGAGTGTTTGTTTTGTATATTGATTTGAAATAGGTATATATATACATATATTTATTTATTTATTTATTTTTAGATGATGTGAGAACCGGCCCCGATCACACGTCCAACCCCTGCACCTCCAAACCATCCCTTACAGAGAAGTAGTATAAACATAATATCTTGTACTCAAATTATTAGTTTTTTTTTTTTGTTATATATTTTATGTAAATATATTTTTATATTGTATTTTTGTAACATTATTAAAGAAATGCATCTAAAATATTGAGTGAAGCATAGTTAGCTGCCGCAGGCCTTAGCCACATCTCCGTGTATCATCTAAATGTATGGGTAAAATATTAATATACATGCATATCTATATAAAATTACTAGTGCTCGATTTCTCAAAAGAAACTAATACATTACACATATTTATTATTTTTATATTTTTCCTACACAATTCCATATATCTCACGTAAAAAAATTTCTTTCCCAAAAATCTCACAAAACAAACAAACAGATTTGCGAGGGAATAAAAATTTCTAGAACATTATATGTCCTAAAGTTAGACAAATGTTGTTTGACAATCCATTCTTCCTGCATCTCAAGCTGTCAAAGTTTGTGATTAGTGCAACATTTCATAAAATTAGGATGTCAGTGCAACATTTAAATTCTACCATATAAAGAGTTGCTTTCCCATTTTCTGCACAAGATTCTTAACAAAACATATGCTCTAAAATTTCCAGCAGTGTTCAACAAAACTCCCAAACAACTTTCAATTACACAGCTAAAGATGAAAAAAATATAAAAATAAAATTTGAAGGGAAGATTTATTACTTTCGTTGGGGCCTTGAAAATCCATATAGAACTCCTGCATCCCATCATTGATAATCTCCACTTTGCAATCACTCATCATCCTATTTCATTATAGCAGAAAAACTCAAAAGTTAGTTGGAAAGAAAAACTTTCAGGGAAGAAAGAAATTGCATGAAATCACAAGCAAGATCAGAGAATACGAGGGTGTGTTCTTTTTGTAAAAAAGAAAAAAACACACATTTTTTTTAAAAATTAATATATTACACGTATTCATTATTTTTATATTACCTACGCAATTTTCTATACCTCACGTGAAAAATATTTCTTCAAACCATTTCACAAAACAATCGCACCCTAAATTTCACACCAAGCCTCATGCAGAAATTACATTTGACCAATGCTATAAACTAACAGAGTCATCCAACTTCCATCAAACTACTGTACATTTCATAATCCAACCTCATTTCCTTATAAAACCATCCATTCAATAAAATAAAAAAATAAAATACAGTAGTCTTTATCCACCTAAATCCAGAAAGTACAAATACAACAATATTCAAGTCTCCTAAATTCAGATCATAAAACTTGAACGAAATCCCTTTTCAAATTCATTTATAATAAAACATGAGTATCAACAACAACAATAGAACTGACACAAAAATTAAAGATGCAAATGGAAAGAGGGATTCAAAATATTCGTCCCATTCTAATTTCAATAAAAAAATCCAACTGTGAATTAACCAAAATCAACACACCAGAATACATAGTACTAAAATCTTTAAAAAACATATAAAAATTCTAACTATTGCTGCTCATGCTACAATATATCATATTTTGATTCCACTTTTTCATCGCGGTTGAATAAACTTTATTTTTAAAATTATAATTTTTATTATTTATTTGTATAGCATCAAGATGAATAATGTACCAAACATTCTCAAACATGAAACTCCATAGAGCATTATAAATGCTAATTCTTGCAAAAGTGGCATTTTAACAAAGAGAGATATAAGCTAAATGGAAGCATATGCATAAGCTCACAACAGTCAAATAAATCAAGAAACAATTACTGCAGAAGGCAGCTGAGGGCAACCTCGCAAAGGCCTGTTTCCGGCAACACCTGCAATGCAAAAGATAAATTCAAAAACCGAGATCGAAGAAACGATGCAAAGCAGATCTATTTACGTAAGACAGGAAAGAAAAGATCTACTGAAATTCAATCCTATCGCCGCTGTAATCGCCGGAGAAGCAAAGCACGAATCCAAAGGTACTGCAATGTCCATTTGACAAACATTAAAAAGTAGATGTGAGATAGGCAGTGGGAATAGAACCAAGCATAAAATTGATAAGCCAACTCATGATCGTATATATATAGAATATAAAGGACGCAACTACGAATTGAGAATGTAAGGAAAAACACTTGCTCGAGATTCCAAATCAGATGGGGCTGGAATTTGGTTTGAAAGATACAAATCCGACCTGCTAAAGTAAAGATGAGAAAAATGAAGCTTAAAACAGAGCAGACTTGAGGGCATATTTAACACTGAACAATGAATGCTTTATAGTTGATTTGAGGGCACTCTCCATGCAACTTTCAAAATAGAGTTATCTACATACATGTTGCCCTTGGTATACTTTCTTCATGGCATCATTACAGAGGGTGGTCTTCAAGTTCAACATCAAATCCTGAAGCACGCCATCTTGGTAGGCCACCATCCAAAACCCAAACCCTGTTATGCCCATATATTCAAAACATCCTGTTTACAAACAAATATATCTTAAACAATGAAATGGTACGCAATCATAATTTGAAAACACAAGGCCCTCTCTCTGGTTACAAAAAAGGAACAAAAGCTTAACAAATACCAATAAATCCCTAGAACAAAACTTAAATTTCTCACATACACAAAAATTGGTGCGAAGGCTGAGCTGAAGGCGGCGAGGCGAGCAGGGATGCAGCGCTATCAATGGGTAATGGGTAGAAGAGATGGAGGCGTCAATTGCTTCTCAAACACAAGAGGAATAGAGTGGAATGAATGGAAGGGTTTCAGAGAGAGAGAGCGAGAGGGGGATAGAAGAGGTTTCAACAGGAAAAAGAGCAGAACGGACATATAAGGTATGATTCCTCAGACACAATGGCATACCCGTAAATTTTGCAAACTTCAGAGGTAGAATAGACATATTAAATGTCCATCCATACAACAAAGAAGAGAAATTAAAGCGCAAAAAAAAAAAAAAAAGAAAAAAAATTTAGAAAAAAAAATTAGAAGTAAAAAAGAGACAAGAATTTTCAATAGAATTTATTGAAAGAGCTTTGGGTTTTTTTCATCTCTCTTTTCTTTCACGTTATATTATTTTTTCGTCATATTATTGGAGAAATTCATTTAAAATTAAATAACTATTTATTTATATAATATTAAATATTTATTATTTTTATTATTCAAAATTTTAATCCAATTTTTAAATTTACAATTAATAAATAATAAAACTAAAGATATTAATAAATTAATAAAATATAGTTAAATTTTTTAATTAGAAGTATTAATTATTAATTATTACTATAATAGAAAAATAGACTAATTTCGTGGAATGATTAAAAAAAAATGGACTAATTTCGTGTAACAGGGGGAGTACTATTATTATTAACGTTGTTGTTGTTATTATTATTATTATTATTATTATAAACATTATCTTCATCGTATCACCTTTATTATTATTATTATATTATTATTATATATATTATATTTCATATTTATTTTTATGGATGTTTACCCATTTAATCGTCTCCATAATTATAACCAATATACAAAATATGAATAAAATTTGTTTCAGAATATTAATTTCTTGATCCCAAAATATTATAAAAATATTTTTTTGCTATAATAATATTATTTTATACACTCCGAAATCGGGGCATTACAGTAGGGGTTGGACTTGTGATCGTGAGGTCATGGGTTCAAACCTCTGACGCGTCAGGTCACCTGTCGCACATGGTTCGCCTAGTGTAATTTTTTCATCGAACCTGATTTGTAGGGTATTAGGTTTGAACGTCGTAAAGAAAATATATATTATCAATATGATGGAGGTAGGGTTGCATCAATTTTTGTTAAGTCACAATCATTTCGTTGAAATTTTAACAATAAGATTAAAAATGATAATGTTTTTTTTTTTTTTTTTTTATGAAACTAATTTTAATAGTTACTTTTAAATGTGATCATTTTTTTTAAAAAAAAAATTGATTAGGATCAATATTAATTTTTACTCTAATTTGGTTTATAATTGTGTTTTTGTATCATCCATAAGGATAACAACGAGCATATCAAAATAACAGTAGTCAAAATGATATTTTTAGTATTGGAAGTTCAATTTTAAACTATTATGGTAAATAAAATATATATATATATATTATCACAGTTTGCATAGAGAGGTTTCTCCATATCAGATAAAAAATTTCTCAAATCACAGAAAAATCTTAATCATTTTCTTTTTTTTTTTCACACCAATCATTTTTTTTTTAGATCTTTCTTAAAGTGGTGTTTAATTTGGTAGATTATATATATTTATTAATTATTCTTGATCATTTTACCGGATAGTAGCTCATTCACCAGTGATGGTTGTACGCTTGGTGCTACAACGACTAACGAAAATCCGCTAGCACACTTGAAGTGCGATTTCATCGTTTTGAGAGTTGCGTCCTGACGATTATGCAACAGCTCGAGAGGATAAACGTCCGAAAGGACTGACGCGACTCCGATAGTGATTTTGGTGTCCCACCTGTTTGTTGATTTCATTATTAAGTATTTAAGTTTTTATATTGTATGAATTCAAATATTTTGAATATATGGTTATTTAGTATTATTTATTTATTTTTTTTGGTATCCACCAATTACAGAACTTAAAATCAAAGTTTCGATCATAATATTTCTTTATACATATTTTATATATTGGGAACAAATTACGTAAAAAAAATTGTTGGGCAAACAAATCTTATATTGGAGTTGCAATAATAACGAGATTGTTTATTGTGTTAAAGATTTAGCAAAACCAAACAAAACACATAACAACGGTTAAGAGATTGTAGCCTAAGGGTTATGAAATTGTAATTCAAGTGATTGAACTATTTATTTATTTATTTATTACATTTTAGAGCATTGAAATTCAATCCAAATTAAGTGCTCTATCACTCTCCTATTGACTCCCAAATGTTTACATGTGTTTATTTTGTTTTGACATTTTTATTAAAAATAAACATTAAATAAAAGTTTAATTATTATTTTGTCCTTTATTTTTTCTTTTTATCATTTTAAACTTATAAATAAACTCTCAGTATATTGAAATATTAGTTCTATAATTTTAAGATATAGCAAAATTTATAAGTTCTCCAACATCGAATTGATTGAGCTGACATATAAAGCCATATAGCGCCACATGAATTTTTGTTTTCTAAAATAAATAATTCCTATTTAAAAAATATATATAAATTTAGAAGGTTCTACATGAATTTTTCCAAATAAAATTATTTTTTTAGATTTTACAATATTATTTATTAAAAAGAAAACAAAAATTTATGGGGAAATCGAATGCCGAAAACCAATTTTTCCACATTTTTAAAGTCATAGGATTAATAGCTTAATAATGAATTTTTATTTTTTTAAATTGTACACTAAATAATTGTTTTTTAAATATATTTTATGTTTTATAGTAGACAAATAAATTAAACATAAAAGTATAGTAACTTGGATTTTTAATAGCTGATCGGATAATTTTTTTAAGGTAAACTTTTAAAATAAATTGTAAAATTCTAGAAACGAGTTGAATAAAATATCATGGCTTAGTTTAATTTGAAGTTGTATAATAGGGATTTGATGTGATATTTTATTAGATTAAATAATACTTTTTCAATTCAGTCACAAAGGATATATTTTACTTTTGAGCATGAAGATTAAAATATAATAATATTTTAATTGTAATAGGTAGTTAAAAATAATGTAAAGATAATGTTGTCATTATTTTTTGGTGTAAAAATAATAATTTGATGATAAAATAAGAATATCGGTAGAAAAAATAATATTTTTAAATTAGTTATTTTATAATTAGACAATAAAATATAAAAATACGTCTACTACTCAAAAACACAACCATCATATTAAAATAAATCGGCTAGAGTGAATATTGGTTTTCGGTAGAGTAATTAGAGCAACCATTACTACAAGTAACACACAATATTACTACAGACAACACATTGTATATGTTAATATAAAATAAATACAGCACATACTATAGTCTCATACAACGTACACAATAGTTGATTTTAGCACATGTCATATTTCTATACAACACACTTTTTATTTGTGTGTAATAGTAATTTGTATCAGCACCGTAAACTTGCCCTTTGCAATGCCCTGGTGCAGTAGAGGTGAAACATAGTTTTTTTCTGACCCTAACCCAAGCAAACTCCAAAGGACCACATATAAGTTATAAATTAGAGGTAATCAACAGTTGATAACAAGTCAATATATATACAGTTTGCTTATGCATGTTTGGCAATGATGAAATGAAAAAAACATAAAGAAAGTAAACCTTGTCTCATGAGTACTATTACTTTGAATATGCAGACAACATACTGAAACTCCACAAATGTTGATAGGCGTGCATTTGTTGGAGTGAGTAAAGACTACATAAATGTGGAGACAAAGATGTTAGCTCCAAAAATCTTAGGCTAAAAGGCGAAGGTTAGTAAAAATGGCAGATTCAGTTTTTATGCAAAGAATGACTTGGATATACCAAGTTTGGCGTTTTAATTTCCTATTTTTTCTTTCCAACGATTTTTTGTTTTTTTTCTTAATGCTCTATTATGCAAATATGACTGAAAGCATGTTCATTCCCTGAGACCAACAGTAGCAAGAAACTCCATAAGAAAAAATATTGGAAAATAAAAACGTGAAAACTAATTCAAATTATCATCTAAAGGAATGTGATGTAAAACATATATTTAAACATATATGTATCCACCATTCTATTAAGCTACTCAGAGCTCGCAGCGATTACGGCAGCGCCAGGCGGCATCAGCGCCGCTGCAGATGCCACTGCGTCAGTGGGTCAGCACCGACGCAATTTCTGGCGCCCCAGCATCGCCGCCCCCACTCGCACCGGATTCTCAACTGTTCGGGGGCCTAACCCCCTGCCACGGCGGCTTCGTCACTCTGCTCCTTTCGGAAGTCAGGCTACCACCGTTTAATGGGACGGAGCCTTATTAGTTGGGTTGCTCGCGCCGTACAATAATTTGAACTCCACCAAGTGCGATCAGATTTAAAGATTGCATTAGCGCGTATCGCCATGGAAGGCACAGCGAGCTGCATTGGTCTCGATGGCAGCATTTTCGCCATCCAGCCGCCACTTGGGCGGAGATTTCCCAAGCCCTAATACTTCGTTTTGATGATCGTTACGTGGGGAGTCCCTACGAGCATCTTGCCACACTTCGACAAAAAAGGGAAATTGATCAGTGTATCAACGAACTCATCCACTGGCTACACAGGTGCCAGGCTTGACAGATGAGCACTACCTCGGATACTTCATGGGGGTTGTAGCATAACATCCGCAATCGTCTAAGGACACTAGACCCTAAAGATTTGAATTCAGCTATCCAAATCAGCCGCACATTGAGTGGGAATTCAATGTTGGTTCCACCACGACATATCAACAGCCAGGACAACCGCCTGAACAGTTTGCGAGTTTGCGCCTTAGCGGTGGGCCGCAGACTGGACCTCCGCCTCCGGCAGGTCCCTCTAGTCTTGGGAGCGGTTCCGGGAACAGTAGACCAGGCACAGATAGCAACTCCATTGGCGGACACCAGGCGGTGATGGACCAGTCCCCCGGTCGGTCCCCTTTTGGAAATTGAGTCTAAGCGATTTTGTTATCGTTGCAAGAAGCCTTATACATCATTGCATAAGTGTGCCAGCAAATTCCTTCGATCTTGTGTGGTGGACCCCAAACACGAATTGGGTGGCCGAGCTTAAAGAGATGGACGAGGTCGAGGGATAGACACAAGATGAGGTCAGATCCGCCGAGCTCCAACAGATCGCGGTAGAGGCGAGACGGCAAGCTCATTCCTCTCGATTTGATATGTTGAAGCAGACTAACGGACAAGGATTCGACTTGGGTTGATGCGAGGAATTGCGCCTCCGGTTTCCCGACTTCCACCTTGAGAACAAGGCAGTTTTCAAGGGTGATGGAGTTGTTATAGAGTGGGGTAAGGTCAAAATCTATACTAGAAGAGGGAGAAACACCGGATAATATTTTTTTTATTTCTTATTATTTTAATTCCTATTTAGTTCTTAATTATGAGTCTTGAGCTTGGCCATGAGTCTGCCTATATATGTATATATATAGAGCATATCTAAGTCATGTTATTGTTAGGGTAGACAATCATTAGTTTGGTATTTAGTTACAGAACAAATTGATTTCCCTATGTGATTCCATTTATTGGAATAAAGTTCTCTTTTGATTAACCCTACCTCACCACAAAGATGAAAATCCATAAGAAATGCATTGCACTGAAACTTTGCCAAGTTCAAAATGAAATGCCTGACAAGCAGGGATTACTTCCATCATTTAATGAATAAGCTACCAATGACACGATGATCCATTGAAAAATAAATCCTTTACAACTTCAGCTCGAGCGCTCAATATGAACAACCTCAAGGTTACCGTTGCATGACTAATTAATTGATGTAAAGTTCATACGTCTAATGAACAGAAAAAATAAATAACAAACTCTAACCTACCCATTGATGGAGCCTAAAATAGCTTAAACTATATGTAAAGATCCAGTGAAAACTAGTATTCCCTGTTTGGCTCCATGTTTTGCACGAAGTATTTTGCTTCCAAATTTCATAGAAGCCATTAAAGATCCCTCCATGAATAAAATAGACTGATTTCCTATCATATCTTTTTGATCCTCGGTCAAGTCATACTTTTCTGCTTTGCAGTTGAGAAAATCAGCACCTGTCACGCAACATGTTTGTATCCAAGTATCTTTCAAAGGAGATGATGAAGTCGTTCGGTATCTATCTCCAGCAATATCAACTTCAGTGAAACACAGAGGCATCCAGACATCCAGCTGCAAAGGAGAGTGGGTTTTTTTTAACTAGATGGCAGGATTGCATGTGAAGCATTATGGAAAAATAAGATAAATTAGAATATAAAATAAAATAAAATAAAATAAAATGAAAACCCAAATAAAGTATTACAATTTACTATACAGGTGTTGCACAACCTTACAAAAGCGTTTCACGTTGTTATCTCTTCACCAGAAAGGCCCTTTCATTTAGTTTTCATCCTGCCTACCTATCATTAGTTCATAGCCTTAAATTGGCTACCATATTCAACTGTAAATAGCTGCCAAGTATTTACAAGATTGTAGCAGCAGCAAAATGAAAATAATAATAAAAGGAAGCACATTCAGGAGGCAAAAGTTCTGTGACTTGAACCACACAACCAACATAAGCCTGTTTTCTGTTCAATCATCTATTTATCATGGCAGGGGCAATTATCCTCGACAAAGAAGTTCGGAATAACTTCAGAAATCTAATATTAAGGTAAATATGACTAACTGATATGTGATTCATGAATTGTGGAATAAAATACAGAGGCTAAAATTGAGCTCAATCGGCCGTACCATGTGGGATAGATTGGATATATACTAGTATGTATTTTATTCACAGAAAAGAAGAAGAAACTTAAAAATGTCAACCCAAAAGATTGAGTTTTATATGCTATTAGTGTTCCACTAAAATTAATTAATAATATTTTTCATGGAATTATGGAAAAAAAAACATCCCAGAATAATGTTGAAATGTCTCATCCTACAAACTCCAATTACGTGCCTAGCATGATACCTAATTTCACCCAAAACAGTATGATGAAAACAATATATCAGGTTGGATGGAATGATATATACATAAAAGAGACCCAGATTATGCAGATATTTTTGGTGGTTTCATGAATCTATATTTTAGACTTACACATATTTCAAACATTTTAGATAGAAAACTTCAAAAAACATCTACAATTTTTGCAAGCCTAGAGATATAGAGTATGAAAGGAAAATATTTACCTCCATCGAGCAGTAAAGTTGCTCCTTGAATTCCTAGCATTTCAGCTTCCTTGTTTCTCAAAATTGGCTCTCTACCAAGCAAATAAGCATGCTCTAGACCAGCATAAATAGATGCATCTGATACCTTCCATCCTGACAATGACATTATGAGAAGAAAGGAACAATATCAAAATAAGAAAAATTGCTAAACGTGCTGAATCACTAAACAATAAAGTGGTTAGAAATAAGAATATGATTAAAATAATTAAACCAAGCTGCAACATGATAGCAATGTGTTGTAACTGTTAGCATATGTTAGTTCAGGAAAATGGTGTGAGATACACACTCTGTCCTGTGCTTATAATGTCATAATCTAATGCACGAAGCTTTTCAATCAATCATAAAAGATGCATATTGGAGAGACACAGTAGGCAACACTTTAAACAATTTTTTGTCAACTCCGACTGGACAGAACCCCAATCTGACAGCCCCGTTTATACATTTAGCCATATTCCATGCTCTATCACTTCATTCATTAATCAACATAATATATATATATATACAAGCCAGAACAATGATTCATAAAAACATCACAATTTCACATAAGCAATCAATTAAACAAAAAGAACAATATCAAACAGAGAACCCTCCCTCGTAACACGAAATTCATTGAAGTCAAACAAACACAATTTTTAATTCGACTATCTGAAATTGAAATTGAAATTGGAAGCAGATTCTGATTTTGGGCGAGCGAATGAAGACCGGAGATTTTGTGCTACCGATACCGAGTTAAAAATGAATATTTAATCGGCAATAAATATTACACATTACCCCTTTAGTTTCTATCAACATTCATGTTAGAGTTAGACTTAGGTGGCGAGTTCAAACGGGTGCTTCAGGTTCAAACCGGAACCGCCACCGAACCGAAATCGAAACCGGTTCGATTTCGTTTCGTATTTTTCTTCGAACATTAAATTGCCAGTTAGAACCGCGGTTCAGCATTTTTTTTGTTTTTTTTATTTTTATTTTTGAAAACCGAAAAGAAGATAAAAGAAGAAGATACGAATAAAGAAATGGAAGAAGAAAGAAGGGCAAATACATTTTGTTTGGGCGTTATTTCAATTTTCAAGTACTCCTATTATTTACTTGGACACAAGGACAAGGTTTATAATAAAATTATATTCCCTTTTTTATTAAAGGACAACAAAATGCACACAACATTAAAATTTGTGTCTAAAAATTTTAAACTTACTTTTTTTTTCCTCGATAGAAGTAATATATGATTTTCACCCAAAAGTATAATTTTTTATTATTTAAATTAATTTATATTTTTTTTCAATCATTTTTATGTACATATTTCTTTAGGTAAGTCGCTTCAAAATAAATTTAAATACTTAATTTAAAAAATTATTTGTCTAAACTGTATAATTGATTATTATTATTTTTTTTTTTTTAAGTATAAGAAAACGAAAAGAAATTTTTGTGGATAAGGCATTATATTAAATGTAGTGACATATACATTTTTTGTTGATAGGTACTTTTAAGGAAAATAATTTTTGTAAAATAATTTTATTTTTTTCTAATGAAGATAAAGATGAAAAGTGAAAATTTGAACTTTTTGGCAATATAACATGTCTATACACATTTGTTTAGATATAATATAATTAGTTTAAGATTTGGTGATAATTGAGCAATTTTAATACAAATAATATAAATTAATTTAAAGATGAAATAAAATGACAACAAATACAATTAGTATATTTGTTAATTTTTTAGAAAATGATAATTAGTACTAAATTTGAACTATATTAATAGATAAAGATCAAAATTATCATTTTAAAAATAAAAGAACTAAAATTGATACAACTATGAATAAAATAGATCAAAATCGTTATAGAAATTAAAATTGGCATGAATGTGAATAAAATAAACAAAAAATTATTTTGTTCTATTATAATATTAGAATATAATACTCATTGGTAGATGTTGTCATTTCTATCACTTTCAGCTGACCTTTGTACATACTTTTCAAAAAATAACTATCTAAACCAATAATTGGTGTATACCCGGACTTAAACCATTACTCAAAAGTTTCAAACACATATGCATCATTCGTAGAATTGGTGGATTCAAGTCTAGATCAACATGTAAAATACAATAACTTTGTGGATTACACTTTACACCTGTGTGGCAATACTCGTAGAGTCTTGCATGTTGTTTCTTAACACCTCCTCTAAGTAATTCAAGGGCATGTTGCCGCTACCCGAAAGTGTACTTTGAGTAAACCCCCGGCCAAACTTAATACCAAGGGCATGTTGTTTTGCTTCGATATACTTTAAATTTACTAACCTCAACATCAACATCTCGTCTGATTTTTCTTCGCAAGGATTTTCAATGGATTTATTTGGATTATCTTTTAGATAATTCATGATCATTTTCGCCAAATACCTATACCATTCCACAAACATAATGTTGTGTTAAAAATCTATTTCATCGCAATATATATGAAAATAAAAATCAACTACATTGTATTTCTCATAGAAAACAACCATAAAATATGTGTAATATACAAAATAATACTTGAAGTCTGCTTGTGAGTTTTTTGTCATGTGTGCACAAGTATGTTTTCCCCTTAAAAGTCTTAATTTAAAAAGTATTCTCCTTCAGATACTTGAACCACGAATGGATCAATCACATTGTTGATGTATTTTTTCAACAAAACAAAGTAAAATTCGAAAATAGAAATTATCTTCGAATTTGATAAAATGAATGCTGAGATTAGGAATCTCTAGACACTGTAGGATACATAAATAAACTAGAAAAATGAATGTCTGAGATTAGGAATCTAGACACTGTAGGATACATAAATAAACTAGAAAATAAAACTAAAGACTGAAAAATAAAGTGGTGATCCCCAAAGGCAATTCTCTTGAATTTAATGTCGATTGAAGATGATTGAAGATAACAAATCCAAACCCTTAAATATTCCTTCAAGAAAACGTTTCAGAACCGTCGCCTGGTTGGTTACAGCAACCGCCCAATAATTCTTCCTTCAATGACACGTGTCTTTAACCGTCTTGCCAACCGCATACCCAGCTGATCAATCCAGAGACTAACTGATCGCTAGACCAAACGACTCCTTGGCCGCCCAACCAAGCGACCACCATCTGGTCTCTTGTCCGACCTCGTATCGTCCGACCTCACTTGGTCCGAACTCCGTATCAACCGACCTCCGTCTTCGCCCAACTTTATTTGGTCCGACCACGGGTCAACCGACTACGGACCACCCGACTGCGAACCATCCGACGGCGGACCAACCGACTGCGAACCATCTGACCTTCTTAACCGACTGCGGACCATCCGACCTGCTTAACTGACTGCAGACCATCCGACCTGCTCATCCGACTGCGGACCATCTGACCTGCTCATCCGATTGTGGACCATCCGACCTGAGTGCATATTTTTTCCTTCTCCTCCCGACTTCGCCCGACCTTCTTTTGACCCTGCTACCATTATCATTATTATTATTATTATTTTGTACGTAACAACTTGCCTCCTCCGCAAGACTCCTAAGCGTCACTTCTTGTGATGTTTAGGAGTTAGCAGGCCGCCATCCGAGGCCACATCAGCCTCAGATCCGACCTCCATCTTTCGAGGCTACGTTGGACCCGACCTCCATTTATCGTAGACTGATGGTGGCCTGCGCGTTGGTCGACCTTGCACTACCATTTCTTCAACACCCCCCCCCGACGGAAGTCGTGATCATTTTCTCTAAAAAAGGATTCTAACCTTCTTGCCTTGGATGCTAAACTGGCCAGATCTTGAACGTCGTGAGCTGTTAAAGCCTCCCGTAGTGGTGTATGCATATTCCTGACCACCAAATTGGTCATCTCGCTCTCCTCAATGATTGTTGGGCAACGTCCCTTCATCAGTTGTACCCTTTCGATGAACTGTGAGGCGGATTCTTCTGGAAATTGCTTTATTTCCCACAAATCGGTAAGAGAAACAGTTGGCAAAGGGTTGAAGAATATAGCATGGAACGCCATCTCTAAACCTTCCCAGGTTTGTATTTGCCCAGGTGGCAGATTTACAAACCACGAAAAAGCTGTTCTGGTAAGAGACAAACAAAATAGTTGCAGCTTATAAAAAGGGTTATTACCGATTTCCCCTAACTGTGCTGTGAACCGACCCACATGCTCTATGGTGGAGGATCCGTCTTCTCCTGAGAAAACATGAAAGTCTGGTGGTCAATAATTTCTCGGGAGAGGATAATCATTGATGATTCTCTTTGGAAATGGCCTCTGATACGCCGGTCGGTTCACCGTTTGCGGATTCATTCCAAAATGTACCCGCAGAACTTGAGCGATGTCCTCCGGATCTATCCTGGGTGGAAGTGGGTCGAACACCGGAATGAGATTATGGACCAGTCCACTAGCGAAGGCTGGCGCGGCTGGAATATTATGAATCTGATCTCCCAATCTTTCTTCTCTGGGGACGGTTGGCTCGACTGGGATGGGATTATGATCCTGTCCCCCCAACATCTCTTCCCTTACGATATTCGGCTGAGTGTTATCAACTCTTGGTCCCAAAGGAACATTATCGGGGAAAGTTAGAGGAGTCTTCCCTATCTGTTCGGTTGAAAGTTGTGGCGCTTGGAAATGTACTATCAACGTATGTTGGCCCTGCAAACGTTGATCCTGGAAAAGTTGCCTGAAACCGAGAAGGTGACAAGGCTGGAGGCATGTTTGAATGTAGTGTGATTTTGGAGAACGCCTGATCCAACATGTTCTGCATTAGATTTTGTTGCTCACGCAACATGTTCTGCATTAAATTTTGTTGCTCACGCAACGTGTTTTGCATAGCCAGAGTATGCTGATTGTTCAATTGTTGAACATAAGACATCCAATCGGCAGGTACTTGTGGTGCGTCCCCTGCATTCAGCATAGCAGGTGGTGAAATTGTTTCTCCCACCGGTGTTGAAGATACTCAGGGCTGTGAGTCTGCCATATTGATCTTTCTGATGATTCGGCCGGACCTCAGTTGTATAAAATTCTCTTTTTGTAGGATCAGTAATCT